ATGTTTTGAGAATGATGAGGGCAATGAATGTACAAATGTGCTTTACACAATTGATGTATGTATGGATTGTGATAAGAGTTGTATGAGCCCCTAATAAACTGATTAGGAAAAAAAAAAACAGAGTTGAGAAAAGGAGATTATAAAAGTGACTTATATAGGCTGACTATGAATCTCAGTACTTGGACTATTAACTTGTACTGATTAAATCCTTAAGTGTCGGACACAATTTACACAAACAATGGGGGTTGGTGGTAAGGCAAAATTTCAGTAATATCCATTGACAGTGGTAGAAGCAGGCCTACCAGATTAATGCATATTTTAATAAAGCAAGAAGGACATTGAAGTAAATATATGATAGCTCGCCAACCCCCAGGCCTATATCCTTGGTATAGCTGTCTTCTGCTTCTCATTTCACACCATTTACTTTCAGCCTTAAGACCAAGGACTACAGTTATATTTGAGGTAGAACTCAGTCCACTTATTGATGTTTCCATAGGGAGTCCTTCAGGTGTGGCCTGTGAAGGATGTTGTGCTCCTTGAAAACACAGGGTCTAAAATCCCAGAAGTCTATAGCACATGGCCTGGGTTCCCAGGAGCTAAATATAAATTAAGCCTAATGTGCCCAATTATAACATAGTACCAGGCATATTCTCCCCTTGGTTTCAATAGAAGTGTTATAATGAATCTTTTCCCCATTGGAAGGTTACTCATCCCCATTTCTCTACCAATTTCCACAATGATTGTACGTATTTACAAGCCCAATACAGTGTATATGAGGTCCAAATTCTCCATACCCTCTCCAGCATGTGATATTATTATTTTTATTTTAATTGGGCTATGATTGTGGGTGTAACATGGTATCTCATTTCTCATTCTTGTTTGCTTTACATTTCCAGGATGACTAGGGAACAGAGCATTTCCTTATGTGCTTCTTAGTCATTCAGATGCCATTTCTTATGAATTATCTTTTCAGTTCCTTTGCCCACCTTTTAAGAGAGTTATTTGGTTTTTTTTTCTAATTTTGGTATTGGATAATTCTGTAGATTTTAGTAATTAGTCCATTGCCCATTATGTCATTGCTAAATAGCTTTTCCCAATCCAGGGGTTCTTTTGTTACTCTTTTGATGAAATCTTTTGATGTACACTAGTGTTTTATTATATATATATATAATATTATTTGGGAGTTAATACATATATAATTCCATAGTTCAATAATGTCAAGCAGAATTGTACAATTGCTACCACAATCAGTTTTCAAACATTATTTTTCTTCCTGAACTCCTTGACATTTTCTCCCTGGTACAGACACACAACGATCCTGCCCCCTGACCCCGTTATTCTACTTGCTGCCCCTATTGGTTCATCAATCCTGGGTTTCTTATACCTAAAACCAGAAAAATATGCAATGCAACTTCAAGAGGGTGATAGCTGAGGCCATATCACCTCTGAGATACACTAAAAAATGAACAAACAAAAACAAAACAAAAATATGGGAAATGTTGAAAACCAAATCAGGTCCAGCATGCATCAGAAGGGGCATCTACTGACAAAGTTTTAATTATTCAAGTCAGATTTGTGCTTTGATCTTCTATACACATCTCTCCAATGCCTTCTGTTAGGTAACTCCTTTCCTCCCATCACTCAATTATGGATACAGGGAGTTCACTGGAGGCTGGGTTCCTATGTAGCTCCCACAAATGAATCTTGGGGTTCCCCTGTTG